CGTATTGCAATATATTGCAATACGGTTTTTGGACGCAATACTCACCCCTACTATATATACATTACATTAGTTAGCGAGCATGTCTCCAAATATTAGACCGCATTGGATTAGAAGTTCTAGGCAATGACTCACACAACAATAATCATAGAAAGACAGATATATACCCCGTACATACTGCGAAATTTGATCCTACATCAAACTAGTCTGGGCCAGGCCCGTGCTAAATCGCAGAGTACAGACCTAAAATGTAGAAGCGTGCTAAGTTGGCACGGGTTGAATGCGCATACTCAGTTTAGCTTGTTGCGACACTCAGCAGACAGCTTCTGTACATTTATGTGACCTAACCAAGGCTATGTGCATGCGTATTACAAAATTTAGCGCAGGCCTGGCACCGGATTGCGTACACAGTTTAGCGCGGTCTAACTTAGTATGCGCCAACTTAGCATGCCTCTAAGCGGCCTGGCCCACCTTGATTTGCGGGGCTAAATTAGTCCAGTCTAGCGCATATTTAGAGCGGGATAGCGTGTTCACACTGCAAAAAGTTAGCGCGGGCCTGGCTCCGACTAGTTTGATGGGGGATCAAGTTTGCATTCTGTATAAGGTAATAAATAGACAGAGGGTGAGTAACTCTTTTTTGAGATCTACTACTGTGTTGCAGTTATAGTATAGCTGCTGGAGATTCATAAGAAATGCATTTGAGATAAACAGTGAAGTATGCAAAATAAATACTATTAGGCTATAGTAAGCGAGCATATTTAACGTATATATACATCAAATTACATACTATTTATAAGGATATGTAACAACATTTAACCAAATTATATATATAAAACCACATAATGCCTTAGACAGTGTAGTACTGTCTTGCAGTTATTGTATATAGGCTGGAGATACATTAAAAATATATTTGATTGTACAGTAAACGAAATAAACACTATTAGTTAGCGACCACATTGGATTGACAGTGCTAGACAATGACTCGCGTTAAAACAATCCTAGAAAGACAGATATAGACAGAGGGTCAGTAACTGTTTTCTGTGGTCTATCATTCACATTGTATTGCAGTTATGGTATAGATGCTAGAGATTCATAAGAAACTAGCCATCGGCGGCCCATGAATCACGGGCCTCTAGATTTTACCCAGGCATCATCAAAACATGATCGCAATATCCAAGAAGTAAATGAAAAAGTATAACAATTTGTAATGTAAAACAGAGTAGTGTACTTTGACTTAGATTCATGCTCTGTCACCTGTCCAAAGGCAATGATATCCAGCTAATTATATAACACACACTATATAGTTAGCAACCATATCTCCAAATATTTGACCACATTGGATTGACAGTGCTAGACAATGACGCTCAAAGGGTCGTTGTCGTAACAGGTACTACAGATATGTACCCGAGGTACATATATGTATACACAAAGTGTACCAGACTTGTACTACAGAAGTGTACCCTAACCCTAAACATGGGATACCTCATATAAAAATATAAACATAATACTAAACAACCTAAAACTACCTCGGGTACATATCTGTAGTACCTGTTACGACAACGACCCTTCATGCGTCAGTAACTGTTTTCTGCGATCTATCATTGTGTTGCAGTTACAGTATAGATGCAAGAGATTCATAAGAAACACATGTGAAATTAAAAGCAGAGTATGTAAAATAAACACTATTAGTTAGCAACCATATTTGACCACATTGGATTGGCAGTGCTAGACAATGACTTACATTACAACAATCTTAGAAAGACAGGTAGAGACAGAATATTAGTGAATGTTTTTGTCCACAACGTTACTGTGGTGCCACAACGATTACACAGTGACCAAGGAAGTCAGTTCACAAGTGATATTGTTTGGGAACTGTGTGCCAGGGGCGTAGCCAGTATGTAGCACTGTAGGCCCGGGCCTACACTTTTTTTTGGCCAAGTTATCTTTTTTTTTAAAACGCCCATAATTCAAATCCATAAGCTTGCTGGACGAGGTTAAGAGTCTAGGCAGGAAAAACTATTGAAATGAACGTAGCAAGAATATGGCTAAATTAGGTGACCTATTCTTCTGTCATCTAGGCTGTCATTTCTATCGCGTGCCGTTTCATTCAACACTCTACCCGCCGAAAAAGACTAGGATCCGATCTTGTCAGTTTTTTAACATTTTAACTCGTTCGTAACACTATTTTAACTCGTTTGTGTTTTTTGGGTTTAAAAGTGATATTGAATGAGGTGTCTCAAGTTAGCAAGAGGCCAGGGAACCAGAATGAACACTCGGGAAGGGCCGTTTCCGGCCATCTGGGGGGTTTGTAAAACCAAAAATTTTCTTGTACGCTCCGCGCCAACCGATGATGGCGCTCCGCTCAGATAGTCGTGCCTACAACTTTGAAAATCCTGGCTACGCCCCTGCCCTATGTGGAATCTCGAAATCTTACCCCACCCTACATCACTCGGGGGGGGGGGGGCAACGGTTAGTGTGAACGATATAGCAGAACAGTGCAGAAGCATCAATGGGCAGAACATCTGCCTGAGTTGATCTAAATTTTCAACTGCAAACCACAGGCTGGGTTCAGTCTATACATTCTATTCTTCAGAAAAGATCCTAAATTACAATTTAGATCATCTGCTGGGGTCCACCAATGATGAGAATGAACCAGGTGACATCAGTAAAGTGGGTTACTGCTCAATGTAAAATGCTGCAAGAGGCTTTACAGCAATCTGCTGATAAGATAGAGCAGGTCGCACCGTGGCAACAGCAGCTGCACTCTGCAAAGGGTAGGAAAACTAGTACAATTAAGTAATCCCATTTGAGGAAGGTATTATTAAGAAGCAGAGGGCTTAAAGGATGGTACAATTAAGATTCATCCCCACTGGGACTCCATACCCTACAAAGTCCTGGATAGGCCAGACCCAGAAGGCACTACACACTTAGTAGTGGTACTGGCAAAGAGGTCGGGTGCCTCAGACGGTTCACCACAACCTGATCATGCTTGACTCGTACAGACTAGTGAGGAAGTATGCCCAGGATGATATCCCCACAAGAGGCTCAATGAACTGACGGAAACTGCCAGTGATAATGACGGTTTTGCTTTGATTATTCCACGCCACAGAGAACCAGAGTTCCTAGTGAAGATAATCAGAGTGATCAAATAACCAAATTGCCAGTCCCTAGTTCCAATGACCTACAGAAGCATCAGTCTAGTTCAGTCGTTGAAATACGCGACGGTGTTGTGCAGCAGCTGGTCCAGTAACTTCCCAATGGGAGAGGTAGCATGGAAGCTAGCAATTGGGGCTCTGCTAGTGAGCATGGACAAGTGGTGCAGACACCCCATGCTCTGATTGAAGTCTGCTGTGCAGAAGGATTTAAAGGAGCCACTGGAGGATGAATCAAAATCAGCGCCGACTGGGGGATTAAATAGGATATAATATCATGTAGTTTGGTAACCAAACGTCATAGATACACAACTAACGTCATGGCCTTCTGTTTTCATATTGTGAACGTGCAATTAGCGTGGAAGACATAATGGCCTCACTGTACGCGCCATTTTTACCATTACAAGACATTGGTAATTAATGCTATTTATACTAAGAATAAATAGAGCAACACCAAGTGGCGTGGTATTGAACCTTATACGTCTAGAGAGATATCGATACTACAGTATATCAGCTGGAGACTCACAAGATATGAGATTGACAGTAGAGCACGTAAAATTAACACAATAAGCTAGAAAGTGTGTCCAGATACAGTGCTTCTGTTTTATCAAGGCTCCAATAAATGGAAGCATTAGGCGTGTTCACACACAAGAAAAACCGCGATGCTAATCGCGATGGAAATACCGAGATAATTGTGTCGTTGTTCACACAGGCGGAAATATCTCGCAAATCGCCGAGCGGGATAATTCTATTAATCGAACTGCGCATGCTCACTGCCGGAATGGTGCTCACTGCGCATGCTCACTGCTCACTCGCTTGGAATGATGGGATAGAAAATACCGGGATTATTTGCGCGAGCGTTCACACACGCAAATAATCGCGCTAATTCCAAATAATCGCAGTCAAAAGTGCGATTTGGAGCGCGATGCTGATCGCGAGTATTAGTGAGATTATTGCGTTCACACTTGTAAAAATCTCGGTATTTCGATCGCGATGCAAAAACCGAGATTTGCATCCCGCTTATTCGTGCCAGTGTGAATGCGCCTATTGTCATTTGCATATGTCCTTGAAAAACAATCCTTATGCATCAGATAAATGGGACAGGACTTCAGGATACTTTCTGCAGAACAAAATTCGTTCATTTCAAATAAACGTTATAACCCTAACTTCTGCTTAATCGGGACATCTCATGATTCCCGACCTGTCCTGATAAAGCGAGCACTACTGTATTTGACCACGTGGAAGTGGAAGTGCTGGACAATGACCCACGTTACAACGTTACAACCTAACTACGTTAGAACGACACATAAAGACAGATACGGTCAGTGCGACTTAAAAGGCATCTAGGTATACACACTAGAGGATACCTGCAGTTAGAACTTATACATCTTAGATCTACTATCTGTGTTAGCTATGCTTGTTGTTAGACTAAAGTGAAAACTTATCACGGATGCAGACTTGCTGTATCAATCCTAAGATGGAAAAATTATCATTTTAACCAGCAACCGATCAGTGGAAGAGCATCGCTCTGCATTTTGTTGCTGGAACACCTGTTGCACTTTTACAATTAATCACACAATTACAAAAAACACCTGGGACATAATATACCTAACCATGTTGCTAAGTTACCTACTTTATGTGAGTGTTGCCCAAAAGAAGGTTTAGGTTAGCAACATTAGGTTGCACATTCTCTTTAATATTTTAACATTCGCAGGACATTTTCCACTGACGGCACTTCATACACAAGTCAGGTACGTACAACAGATATTTTATCTGATGTGATGTTAAACCATGACACACAGGGAAACATGCATATTAAACATTCGAAATGCCTTACACGCCCATACGCTTGCGGTATGTACATGAGAATACTAATATCATCCTAAGTCAAACCTTCGTCAATACTCCACTCCTGTGCTTGACTGTTCCATCTTCGGCACTTGGCATCGCGTACATACCAGTTGTACATGTTCTTGTAAGGTGTCTTGCTTTGTGATAGATGATTGAGTTTCATGCAGAGGTCGCAAAAGCCTGGTCGATCCCGGAATTCAAACTTTCCCTTCCACGTGAAGTAGCCGTTGTACAGTGTGTCATTCTTATCAAGTATCTTGAGATAATCGGCCAGTGCCTTCGGTGACAAGTAATCAGCGATGTTGATAACAGAGTGTGTAGGCACAACATTGCTGTAGTTTCCTCCTCCCATTACAATTGGCACAGCATCCAATTTCAGCGAGTTGAACACTTTCTCGCTTATATAATCACGACATATCGCATTTTCTAGAGCAAGAACAAACTTGTATTTCTTGTTAACCATGTCGTTGCATTCGTCACTGAACCTGGGGCACTTTAGATCTCCACAGTCGCCATAGATGTCTACATCAACGTGTTGCTTAAGGTCGTCCACATATGCCATACGATTACTAGACGTATCACAGTGACTGACAAACCACGCAATGAGCTTTTCCTTCCCTTCAGCATAGTTATGAAAATTGTGTGGTGCTGAAGAATTAAATGGTACCATCTGACCATAGGTGCGAATTGCATCTGAATCCAGTCTGTATGTCATTGTAAGGTCAAAAACATTCTTCAATTCAGAGAGCCTTTGGGGTACATTTGGCATGTTGTCAGATGAATCAAAACTATGTGGTGGAGGTTCAACATTAAAGAACACCCATTGTTGGTTTTGATACTTTACATGAGGTTTGCTAAATTGTCTCGTGAACATGACAATGGCATCTGCTTTTTTGAGTAATTTTTTATCGCTGCTTGTTTCACAGTTCTGTGCTAGACCTGTTGGGCAGTTCTTTTTGAAAGCTTCATGGCCTAAACCCCAATAGTATTCCTCATTGCCATAAAACGTATTCCAGAACAAAATTAATTTAAGACCTGAACCCGAAGGCTCAAGGTTTGGCTTCATGTTTGCTTTTTGAAAGAGGACAAAATATAAGGAGATGATTAAAAGTAGTAATGTAAAAACAATGTACAATTGACACTTGTAACGTTTCAGACCGATTTTTTCCATTATATAAGTTGATGGTATAGTACTGCCCATGAACAACAAGTTTTTTCTGGTCACTGAGTCGATGTTCTGTTGAAATACTGTGGCTCTGTTGGTTGTACTCGTTTGACTCAGCCCTGGCTATCTTGTGATGGAACAATATCTGATGTGGTCAGTTAGTGATATCAGCACAGTATCATTATACATCGGTAGGAGATGAGCTGAAGCCAGCATCTGTTTCTGGACTACTGCCAGTAGCCATTAATACTTGTACAATCTGCAATAATGGAAAAGGCATGGCTTACGTATCGACTGATTAGCACTTACTTCATTGATATGTTGTAATATAAATTCTGGGAGCACTACAAATTATTTGCAGGCTGTATAGCAAAACAGACAGTAATGATGAAAATTATTTCATTTACACATTGCGTGGGGCAGTGAAAGGCATTAGTAACCCTACTTGTTCTGACAACAAATTATCGATTTGCTTATTTTATTTGTTATATAATAATTAGGTAATGAAACCAAGATCAATACCATATTCAGAGGGTTGATTTTTAGCATTAATCTACAGCAACTTTTTGCTTCCCAATCAGCACTGAAATACCAACATTTATTATCCAATTATCTGACCAAGTTAATATAAAATTAGTATAATATTCACATGACAACTTTTCAACTTAGAGGGACAAAATGGCTACTTAGCTGTAGGAATACACACACGTGTAGTGTAACCCTCTTGATACATGCAAAAACTATTGACTATTACTTCTCCACATGTTTACAAAAGGCATTTGCTCACGCTGCTATACTGAATAGAGCAACATGTGATTTGAGCCAACTATTTCACCATCCCAAGCAGGCTGTCAATCAACAGTGGGCACAGTTTTGATACAAACTGAGGCTCATAGGGTCTATGCCCCCCAGGGTACTGCCGGAACGTACCCTGGTAACTATCTAGCTGATATGGTTAGGGTTAGGGTTAGGGTTAGAGTTAGGGTTAGGATTAGGGTTAGGGTTAGGGTTAGGGTTAGGGTTAGAGTTAGGGTTAGGATTAGGGTTAGGGAGTAGGCGTAGGCGACTCCCTAGACTCATTAGTGGAGTAGGTGAGGTACGATCCGGCATATTAGATAGTAGTATTTAGTACCAGGGTACGTTCCGGCAGTACCCTGGGGGACATAGACCCTATCAGCCAAACTGAGTGGCTAATGGAACCAAATCCCAACTCCTGTCTCCACCAAGGATCCTCCCTCATTTTCCTGAACAAATATTCACACCCTATCTCGTTTAGACAGAAGCTATGATGGAATGCTCTACTACTTGACATTACAGATTAGCTGGAAATCTCTTTGTTAACTCCACCAAGGAGGTTATGTTTTCGCCCCTGTTCGTTTGTTTGTTGGTTTGTTTGTCTGTCAACAGGATATCTCAAAAAGATACAGACGGATTTTGATGAAATTTTTTGGACGGGTTGGTCTTGGGCCAAGAACCGATCGATTCGATTTTGGTGATGATCTGGATCCAGATCTGGATCCAGGAATTTTTCTCATCATTGATGTTAGTGTAGTGGTATACTCTCTAACCGTTTCGCTTTCTCTCTCTGAAGGGGTTTATGTTTCACCCAACTACAAATTAGATCGATAACTATATACATATATATGGGGGGACTGTTAAGCTGTGGCGGAGGTTTGCTATCTCTGATTGCTCGTTTTTTACTTTTTTAGAGGTTACGAATCCGTTCACCAAGTAAAGGCATTCAACCATGCACATGCTGTATGTACATATTGTGTAAACATATTCCTAAGAAACAATCCACCTTATTAGAATAAAAGATGATCACATCCCAGCAAGCACTGTTTTGTCATGATTTTACAGGTTTTTGTGAGCAAAAATGTGCACGTTCAACGGGGTCCCATTGTTACAAACATCCAAAGTAGTCATTACATCATGTATGAAATATCATAACTTTTAAAGTAAAGCATCTTGCAAAATTTGACTTTTTAGACTCACTACGGTGATAACTGTTTATGTTTCTGACATGGGCCCTACATCATTTTCCATGAAAAATTCAAATCGTGCAAAAACAATTTTGGCCTTATGTCGAGACACCAGTGGAATTTTGAACAGTCTTCCCGACTGTTCTCGTATTTATCTGACTATTACAATATTTACGAGTATTACTTGCATAACAGCAAGTGTCTCCCATAATGCCACGATGTCTCAGAACACTTGTAATGTATACGCCATATTTTTCCCGTACAGATATTTTTGCGAATTCAGAATTAACAGACAATTTCGCGAGTGGTTAATTTTGCAGTCGGTGAATTATGAAATATTCGGTATGAATTATTCGTGTGTTGTTATTTTCGCAGTCGGGGAAGCGTTCGCAAAATTTGTAAAAATTAAACCACCGCGAAATATACAGCGTATACAGTACGTCATTACTTTCAGTTTCAGCAAAATTTGCAACAATTGTAACATCCGTGTGGACTTCTGTTGACGTGGTTACATGATGATGCTAAGTACTTGTTTCTTGTGAGACCCTGTCCGAACACTTTCTCAATGGTATCTCGCATTAAGTAATAGATATGCTGTACCAAACTAGAACCACTATATCACTCAAAGAGATGCACTTTTATCTGGTGGTTGCCAATTTCAAAGAAATTGTCGCAACATGAAAGAATATGGCTACATTATTTTATATTTTATATACCATAATAGAACAAACCCAGGCCCGTAGCCAGCTTTATATTGGGGGGGGGGTTCTTTTTTCAATGTTGGCAATTTGCTCAGCAGGGGCGTGTACAGGATTTGTACCAGGGGGGGTCTAACCGTAACCCAAAGTTGCGAGCACGCGAAGCGACCAGGCGAGGGTGCCAAGCGACCGAGCGGGGGGAGGGTGTGGGAGGGGGGTGTTCACTGTTCACCCTCCCGCACGATGGAGATTTTGCAATTATTACACTAAAATGGAGCGACCTGAGGTGAAATTCTTGCAAATTTTCAAAAAAAAAATTTGGGGGCTTGGGGGGCTCGGGGGGGGGGGGGTTCGTTCGAACCCCCCAAACCCTCCCTGGCTACGGGCCTGCAAACCCATGGTAATCTTTACACTGTAGTCAGTAATATGTTTGCTATTCAGTAAGATTATATTTTGCTATATTGTTCATGTATTTAAGAGCTGAATCCTTTAAATATAAGACGACAAAAACACATTGCAGTAAGTGCCTTCATTGGTTTCATTACATTGGTCTTGTCATTTTTTCTAGTCACAATGGGTGACTTTGTGTGTAGGAATATAGGATTTGAGTGTCACCATTGTTACTCACCTACAGCTATCTTCAGCTTCAGCTTGCTTCATTATATTTACTCAGTGTTGAAAATTGCACAAACCTGTGTTACCTAATAAGATAAGGAATATAGAATAAAAAATAACAAAATGATTTTCTTTGTCTCTTTTCTCTATATTGTATATAATCAACAGGGCGCTTCCTAGGCCTTTAACACATGCTGAGTCTGACATGCATTCGCAAATAAAGCTATATTTGTGACATACTATAACTCCTCTGACATCCCTAATTGCCAAATGACCAGACTAAATTTCTAGCCGTTTACTTTTGAACGGTTGAAATAAATAAATTCCAACTATAAGCTGTGGTTAGTATTAAAAGTGGTTCCCGTTTCAACCTATTTTCAGAGGATCTGTCTTAGATGCACATGTATGCACAATTTCCCTCTTTTTGAAATCTCTACCCACTTCCACATTGCTTTGCACTTTCCCAGCTATTTTGCTCAGAATGCGGAAGTATATTGTTTTTTTGTGTGGTGCGGTTTCTTACTGTTGAAACGATACAATAAGTTAACCCAACACAGTAGGTTTTGTTGTACTAGTATTTTACCTAGCCACAAGTCACTTTCTCACTAACATGATCAGAACGTAAATGAAACAGACTCCTATGGCCACAAGCACTTCTGCCATTTCAATAATAAAATGACTGTAAAACAAACACAAATTATATTATATAATTCTATTTACTACCAAAGTCTTCATGTTTGTGTACTCTCTATACTATACTATAGAGTATATAGTCTATCGACTACTAATTCCACATAAATGTTCAAATAAGATAATACTACATCTTTCTGTGAGTTTGTGCATAGTCACGATAGTGGTATCCACAGGCACTTGAAGCGTTTCAATAAAATATAATGCTAACTAAATGCGAAATCTATTTACTACCAAATTCTTAATGTTTCTATACTCTCTTTCACCTATTATTGCCGAAAGTTTCCTGTAAATTCCGTCCAAATCCTACGTGCAACCATATACGCTGCCGGCGGCCATTGCTCTCGCGGCTCACTGTTGGATGCTTACACTTATATATATAGTGTATATACTATATATATATATATTATAATATATATTCAAGTGCCTGTGGTGGTATCTGTGTGGTAATTAGCTTGTGCCCAAGATGAGTTTTTGAACTGTCAATCAGGGGTCGAAATTAGAGTTTTATTTTGGTATCCATTCGGGATACCAGGTATTGAAATCTGGTATCCCCCCCAAAGATCTGGTATCCCATTTTTGGGATAGTGATTTCAACAATGTTGGTATCCAAAATCTTGAAATAGTAGCATTATATAGCAGCTAGTATCTCAATAATAGCATTTGAAAATTATTAATATGTAATGTAATTATTATATAACAAGTGCCGCAGTGCGACAGGGCTCCTCTGGTGTCTGGTGTTCTGCTGATAAATTCATTTGTGCATAGCAAGACGTCTTATACATAAGTCTTCTTTATTCTTGTTTGACTTTCGTAGCCAATTCGAACAAATATATCAGCTACACTTTCGCACTCACCTAATCTCTATGCATTGCAGACACATGTGCATTGCAGGTTGGCAGGCAACAATTATGATTAGAAGCGTGCCAGCCATGGGCTGCCCCGTGTTTTTGCCTACTCACGCGAGCATTCACTGATTTAGCCTTCAGGGTGCTATAGAGGCTGCTTTAGAAAATAATATGATTTAAGGAGCGTAAACCTTGTTCAACAAACATTTGCTATTGCAATTCAACTGTGCAACTGTAGCCTCACATTCACACAGGTATGGGCTCTAATAATAGCAAAAGCAGTTCAATCCTTTGTTAACAGTCAACAAATCAATGTTTAACCCTCCTCTTGAGGGTCAAAAGGTTATCCGACACTTACTCTTCGCATGTCAGCAGAAAGTACATTTCATGGTCCTTTCAATGAAGCCATAAAAATAGTAGGTCACCGCTGAAACCAAAAAGTTTTTCAATCGCTCCGTCAGACCATGTCATCAGAAATGTCTAAAAACTGCCCTGTGCCCCATTGACCTTTGACCTGTGATTTTGGCACAGTGATGGCTTTTCC